CCCCAAAACCCCAAAACCCCAAAACCCCAAAACCCCAAAACCCCATATATGAGTCGGCTTTTAATAAGAAATCATAAAGTTAAATTAATTATACTAGAAAATGGCAAATATGTCTCATGCTGGTAAGTATACTATCGAATGGACAATATTTGTCTACTGGCTAATCAATGGTGTATTTATGCTCCGGAAGTCAATTAGCTCGGTGAAAAATTATCCATTTGCTGAATCATGCTCATTTTTGAACTCTAGAAGTTGATAATATACAGCCCGAGTTTGAGGGTGCTGTAAAAGATGAAAAGAAAGCGAAGCCAACTGGTGGCCAAAATGGAGTCTTTTTCACAATGCTTACTCTTGTAAGTATGAGAATAGGAGGAGGCCTAGTAGGTGTCCCTTATGCTACAGACATTCTGGGATACGTGTTTGCACTGTGCTTCCAGATTATATACCTTCCTTTGGCTATGATATCATGTTGGATGCTGCTGAAGACTAGGGAGATAAGTGGAAGATCCTCCCTCTCTGACATTGGTATCTATTGTTATGGAAACATTAGTATCTATGTCATAAACTTTATTATTGCTCTTGCTCAACTGGGCTTTCCCATCATATTTTTCATTGTTTTCGGTGATGTATTTGGAAATCTCATCGAAAGAATGGGTGCTGATAAAGATTCTTTCTGGACCTCAAGATGGTTCACACAAACTTTCCTAGGCCTGGCTCTATTATACTTCTGCATTCAGAAAGATATTAGCAAGCTTAAATATAATGGGTTTGTCATCCTTTTCTTGTGTTTTGGATTCTTGATATTATTCTTCTTACACTACCTGACTGCAGACATGGACCCAGAACCAAAAGCTGATTTGCTTGATACCAAAATCGATATCAAATTCTTTACAGGTTTCACTACATTGTTAACCTCATATGCTTTTCAGAGCTCATTGTTTACAGTTTTCGCTTTCATGAAAAATAAGACCACTGCAAATGGTATGAAAGCTGATGGCTTTGGGCGAATCATAATTTTCATAGTTTATACAATCGCTCCCCTCATTGCATATGGGCTCTATGGAGATAATATCGAAAAGAATTTGCTCAAAAGTGTAGCAAATGAAACAAAAACTTATGCAATTCTCCTAGAAGTCGTATTCATCTTCGTTCCCTGCATGGCTATTCCTAACATTTTCTTTGTTGGCAAGGAATGAGTTCTTATCATTTTTGATGAAATTACCAGAAAAAGCTACTCGGCTCAGAACAAAGCAACCAAGACTGTCCCTGAGCAAGAAAAAGACAATAGTGAGGCTGAACTAGCAGATAGGAGAGTTTCTACACCAGAAAATCCAAGTGAAAAGGACGATATAGAGAATCAATCAGATGACGTTAGAAACTCAAATCAACTTAAAAATCATCATTCAGGGGATAATTCAGGGGATAATTCAGAAGAAGAGAAAAATTCAAATTTACATGATGAACATAAGGAAGCTAATGAAACTAGGAAGTATATTGTTTCTGACAAGAGCGAAGAAAATGGTGAGGGTGGCCAGCCTCAAGAAGTTCAGGCAGAGGCCCAACCAAAATGCGAGACTCACAAATTTAATCCCAAGGAATATTTGAACATGAAAAGTGTCCACTATTATATCGTGACTCTGAGCTGCTACTTTATCGTAGTATTGCTTTCGATTGTAGTAGGAGATGTGTCGATATTCTTCGGATTCATAGGAGCAACCGCAGGAACTTTTGCTGTTTTCATAGCACCTGGCTCTTTCTATGTAATCACGGTGAAAAAGAAAAATATCCAACTTCAGAGCTCCTGGGAGAAGGTAGCTTATGTTATGGCATGGATTTACGCAATTGCAGGATCAGTCGGTCTTGTTGGATTAAATCTATGCGTTGTCCTAAATTTGGTCCTCTAATATCAATTTATTAAGAGACCGCCCAACCATATAATCATCATATTTCCTCAACAAGTTATCGCAATAAGGGGTTTTGGGGTTTTGGGGTTTTGGGGTTTTGGGGTTTTGGGGTTTTGGGGTTTTGGGGTTTTGGGGTTTTGGGG